CGTCAATGCGTGGATTTTCAAATAATATTTTAAGGCTTAGATTTTGAAGCTCTCTACAAGGCGTATATTTTAAAACCAGTGAGCGGAGCAGTATAGTCGGACGGGGCCGACCATATGATACCCTACACAACTTTCACGAAAATCTAACTTTGTGTGGTTCTATATTCTGATCTTGGGCAATATTTGCACTCTCATGACCTTCACCGTGGGTTGTGTTGTGATGTTCGGCTTTCAATTGTGGCCTATAGATCGGCTCGAAAAAAACACAAAAAAATAAGTTTTCGGTCGACTTCATCCCAAAATTATTATCTGATCATCACCGAAAAATATAGGCGTTGTCCTTGACCATAACTGGATCCTCATGGAAAATTTCAAAGCGATCAACGCTATATTTTCCCCCTCTAAGGGTACTAAATAATATTTGAATACGTAAGCACCTCTAAATATTTAAGTGCAACTCCCACATCCGAGAGCATACGACATACGACCCTGACAACATAGTTGTGTAAGGTATAAAAATGGCAAACAATAACTTTCTAGAACCTGGATGCGTATAACTAATATTAATATAGTTCAAGGTGGCGTATGAGCGCCGACGCTATGTATACGCCAATGCGTGGGTTTTTATATTTATATTATTATATTTTAAGGCGTAGGATTTTAAAGAAATTAAGTCATAGAATTTTAAAGACTATTTGTTTGGCCTTCTTATAAGGTATATATTTTAAAAGAATTTTTTCTGAGCTTCCTATGAGGCATGGGTTTGTAAAGAATATTTTTTCCATACACCAGGATGGCATAGATTTTTAAAGAATATTTTTTCGAGGCATCAGTAGGGCGTAGATTTTTACGGAATATTTTTCGGGATTTCTCATAAGGCGTAAATATTTAAAAAAATATTTTTCCGACCTTCTTATAAGACGGGAATTTTTAAAGAGTATTTTTCTGGATTTCTCATGAGGCATAAATATTTAAAGAATATTTTTCCGGCCTTCTTATAAGGCGGGGATTTTTAAAGACTATTTTTCTGACATTCCTATAAGGCGTAGATTTTTAAAAAATAGTTTTTTGAGGCCTCAAAAAGCGTAGAGTTTCAAAGAACATTTTTTCAAGGCTTCAAAAAGCGTTGATTTTTAAAGAATATTTTTTGAGGGTCCAAAAAAGACGTAGATTTGTAAAGAATATTTTTTTTGGGCCTCCAAAAAGGGTGGATTTTTAAAGGATATTTTTTCGAGGCCACAGCAAGGCGTATTTTTTCTGACGCTCCTATAATGCGTGTCCTTTTAAAGTAGATTTTTCAATAAGGCATGAGTGCGTATAATTAATATTAACATTGCCCCTTGTGGCGTATGAATACCGACACCACGTATACGCCTTAGTTTCCCCATTTACAAAAGTGTAGAGAACATTTGTGCGTGTTAACTAAAATAAAAGACTTGTTAATTAAATAATCTGAGCTGAAAATAAGACAACTAAGTAGAAGACAATCTCATTATCTCTGATAAATAAATTCACATGTCTTTGCCAGAGGAATTTTGTGCAATGCCACTGATTGCATTACATGACATTGTAATTGAGCCTTCTCTCTCCTCATGAAGGATGACAAACTTTTCAATTACACCAATGATGATGAACCTGCAAATGGCCTACTTACGATATAATACTGCTACTGAGAACTCCTCCATTTAAGAGGCTATCAATTTCGGGGAAGTCTTCATTTTAATTACAATGATTTTTAGGAAAAAAAATTCCCATTTCTTTGGAGGGATTTTTTCAAGAGGGAGGAGAAGAAAAATTCTCTTCTTCGATGTATTTTCGTTTTAATTTGATGCGGAGTTTTGGGATGTTATGTGGAATTCATTGGAAGTATTACCTGTTGTTCTATATATTTTTGGAAGCCTAAAAGAAGCAACAAATGGAACTCATATGAGTGTAAGTGATGAAACCTTTCTGTGAGCGATAAACACACCTTCTGCCCACCTTGTTTGCTTGCCTACCCTGCTCCTGCCTGAGAGCAATGACTCCGGCAAGCTGCTGATGCCTTTAATTTGAATGTCATTAACGAAATGTAGATTTCTTCCTATAAGGCGTGGATTTTTAAAGAACATTTTTCTGACATTCCTGAAAGGCACAGTTTCTGACCGTTTTTTATAAGGCATGGATTTTTATAAAATATTTTCTCTGAGCTTTCTCCAGCAAGGCATATATTTTTAAAGAATTTTTTCCGACCTTTCTAAATGGCATGGAATTTTAAAGAATATTTTTTTTTCCAGGCACCTAATAATTATGTCTGGTACTGCGGGGCGTATGAATGTCATCACAACGTATACGCCTTAGTTCCTGTATACAAAATAATCGTAGATTTATTAAAGCATCTTTTTTGAGGCACCAGAAAGGCGTAGATTTTTTGAAAGGATATTTTACCAAGACCCGAATAAGGCTTAGATATATAAGAAACATTTTTTGCTTGCATTTTTAAGAAATATTTTCATGATTTTCTATAAGACGTAAATTTTTAATTAATATTTTACTGACATACCTAAATGTTGTCAGGGTATTATGGCTTTGTGCAACGAAATATTGGTCCCAGACCCACCTTTAAGTATATCGACTAGCTGAGTCGATCTAGACATGTGTATCCGTCCGTCCGTCCATTACAATTTGTAAACACGATACAGGCGACAGTTATGGATGAAGAAGCCAATGAAGACCCCTATTGTTTTTGTTAAGGATCGGTTAAGGATTTAGGGGATGAAATGGACCAAAAACTTTATTTTTGTCTGATTTTCTGTTGGCTCCAGAGGCCGCAATTATGGCCCAAACATCTCGAATTTTTACAAGAAGGGGATTGGGCCAAAGAATAAGCATGCATGTTTTGATAAAGATTGGTCAATATTTAGCGGGTCAAATGGACCCTGACCTTTGTGTTAAAAATGACAAAATTTGTATTCTATAGCGTTTATATTTACTCCTGAAGGACATAGAGCCGAGAAGTTAATAGTATGTCCAGGAGGAGTGGCTGACCTTCAAATTGATACCAATTATATGGTCGAATGTGCTCAGATGTGGGAGTTACACTTCAATATTTACAGGTGCTTACGTATTCAGATATTATTTAGCAACCCATTACCATACTAGAGGGCGGAAATATAGCGCTGATCGCTTTTAAATGTTCCATGAGGTTCTAGTTATGGTCAAGGATAATGCCTATCATTTTCGGTGGTGGTCGGATAATAATTTTGGGATACAGTGGACCGAAAACTAATTTTTTGTGTTTTTTTTCGAGTCGATCTATAAGGCCCCAATTATAAGCCGAACATCACAACACAACTCACGGTGAAGGGAATCTGTACAAGTAATTTGAAGGGTTGTGCTAAATATTAGTAATATTCGGAATATATGTCAGAGTAAGGAAGATGTGCTGTTGACATCTAATCGGGCAAGAGGGTGTACGAAATAGGTTCGGAACAAACATCCGCAGAAAGTTAGAGTTCCATGGTAGTTGTGTAGGGTATCGTATGATCGGCCCCGTCCGACTATACTGCTCCGCTCACTGGTTAAGAAGATAAGGTATTTGAATCCACTGACAAGGTGTGAATTAAAAAAAAAATTGTCTGACCTTCCAATAAAATGCCGATTTTTAAAAATCGAAGTAACCCAAGGTATGATTGCGTATAATTGATATTAAAAGCGTGTCACTGGTGACGTATGATTGCCGACACTATGTATACGCCACTGTTTATAGAAGTAAATTACTTATTTATTAAATCGAATTGCCAAAAAGGGTTAATTTTTTAAAAAATCGATTTTTTCAAGGTACTCCCAAAGCTTGGATTTTCAAAAACCATTTTTTTTCTTAACTACCTACAATGCATGGATCTATAAGAATTTTTTTCAGCTTCTCGGAAACTTTCGTATTTATCAAAACAAAATCCAGGAACACGTACGGTGTACCTTCGGATTTAAATTTTAAATATTTTTCTCAGTTAACAAGGCCTGGATTTAGAAAAAAATCTGAGCTTCTTACAAGGGGTGAATTTTAAAAACAGTTCTTTTAAGCCATCAAATAAGTCTTTGTTCTTTAAATGACTATTTTCCAGGTTCCGAATAAGGTGTACATTTATAAAGAAATGTTTTCCAAGGCTCCAATAATGCCTAGATTCCTAAGAATCTAAGTTACCAACATAATTCATATTAAAATTGTCACTGGTGGCGTATGAATACCGACACTACGTATACGCTAAGAGAAGCTGACAATGGTCGTTGGGACCATCAGTCCGCATCCGCGGGCTTTTTGTTGCCTGCGCAACTTATGGGGCACCTATATGGTACAGAACTGCCTCTTCTGTCTTCGGGCAGAGAAAGCTCCTTCCGTGTCAGCGGGTCGTCATGTTAGCGTGCTTGCCAGTGTGTCGCACTGTTTCAACGGAGGCGTTGCAAGTGCTGCTTGGAGCCGCGCCGCGCCGCGCCGCTTGATCTTGAAGTGAGATGTAGGGCTATCATGTATAAGCTTAAGCGTGGTTTGCAGTTGGATGAGGATGATTGGCCCGGGCCTTCTGATTTGGTGGATGGGGAGAGTAGGCGGTACAGCACAATCCTTCGGGACTGTGTTGTTGATAGGTGGAGGACTAGGTGGACGAACAGTGACAAAGGGAGGGTGACCTACGAATTTATTCGTGACGCAACGTTCGTAGTGGACCGGTCAGACTTTCGCTTCGGCTTAAGTACTGGTTTCTTACTGACGGGGGGCATGGCTCTCTTAATGCTTTTCTGCATAAAAGAGGCCTTGCCCAGACGGATTTATGTGGGTGCGGGATGACGGAGGACTGGAAGCATATACCCGACGGAATGCTGTTACTATGATGATATTAGAGATTTAGCAAGTATGGGTATATCGAATGGAGGGTCGGGGTGGGATTTCAGTAGGGCACTTGAAGACGATCGGACCTTTAGTTGTTTAAGTAGTTTTGCTCGTGAAGCATTTAGGAGAAGGGCAGTACTTAGTGGAGGTGGTCCTCGTACATAGCCCCCTTGCAGTTGGGTGGTTTGGTTGCACCGGGTGGTGGTGGTGGGTAGGTGCACCGGGTAGCGGTGCTGGTCTTGGTGCGGTTGTCGGCGGTTGTTTGCAGTTGTAGGTGGTTTACGGTCTGCCTGCGGTTGTTTGTGCATCGTGGGTGGTTCGGGCAGTGTCCACTTCATGTGCTTCACTCGTCCTGTGGATGTAGTGTAGGCTGTCCGTGAGGGCAGTTTTGTTCATTGTTTGTGTTGTGATGTCCGATGCCGCGGTCCGTTGGGGCCCTTGGTGCAGTCCGTGAGGACAGCATGTTAATTGTTTGTGATTTGTGTATTTGTCACTGCTTGTGGCCAGGTTTTTCCTTGCCACCTGCGGTTATCGTCGTTGATTATTGTTGTTTTGGGATACCAGCCCGGACGTGCGTCAAACTGGAAGAGACCTCGGTCTCGAGCCTGAGCGGAGGTTTTCCGTACCGCGGGTGTCAGGTGCCCCTGGATCTGTTGATCCAGCCTGACAGTTGGTGTGGCCCCCTGGGGAGCTTCGCGGGGGTTGTGGTTTCGCCCCTCACCAAGGGGAGAGTGTGCTTTCTGCATGCTCTCCAATTGGTACAGTACTTCGGTGCTGGAGCGCTGGTGGGCGCTTTTACGCCAGTGGCTCAGCCACTGTGAGGTAGGCCTATTGGCAGGAACTCACATAAAACTCTTCAAGATATTACGTATACGCCATAGCTTACAGAAGTGAGTAGAACATTTTGCTTGGTAATTCAATTCAACTATCAGCATTGTTTTGATTTTTTTAAACCTATTTTTTGAACTTCCATTTTTTGAAGCAAGGCTTGAATTTAAAAAAAAAAAACTATTTTCTGAAGCTTCCATGAAGGCGTGGATTTAAAAAAAATTTTTGAAGCCATCAACAAAGTTTGGGTTAAAAAATATATATTTTTTGATAAAACCAAGGCTTGGGTGTTTAAAAAATATTTTTTTGTTTTCAAATCACCCAGTGATGTTTTCCGATTTTTTTATTTTGTTTCGAATGCAAAAAAACACTCCCGCATATCCTTTAACACATTAACGCCAATTTAATTTTCCATTGTGCCGACAATTTTCGAACAATGTCATTAGCGATGCTGAAATTCTGCAAAGCCTGATTGATACGCAGGCGAGGACAAAAAAACCTCTGCTCAGAAATCACTTCGACAAACAAAAAAACTGACCCTAATTCAATTGGCGCCTGTTTGTTGTTTCCGCAGGAATGAACAACAAGAAGAGAATAAAAAAAAATCACATAAACACACACACACACACAATTACAAGATGCAATTGCATTGTAATTGTATGCACAAATACAATAAATGTATGCATGCACACACATGCATAGGCACAAACACACAGCCTATCTGCCACACATTAAGTTCATTTGATTTTCCCATTATAGAATTTGTATCGAAATGGTGTCAGGCCCAGAATCAGCAAACACTTGTGGATGGAGATGGAGGTGGGAAAAATGGCATCATCGTCATCACCAACACCATCTTCGCAAATGCCATCATCATCAGCAGCACCACCATCGTCATCAATAATGTTCAGGCCTTCGGGCATATCTGTTGCACATTCGCCCCCCAAAAATGAGACACCAGTTGACTGCATTGGCCCGAGGGCTACTACTGATGCTTTATCCAGTATCCTTTTCCATCACACTTGATGCATTCTGCATCCCACATCATATGCAACATGTGGTGACTTTGTCCCGACCAACATCATCGTCATCGGCCTCATCAGCATCACTTGGACTCTTGGTCCGTGATGCAGGCATCGATGCATTGGTCATCATCATCATCATTCATTCATTCAATCAATTCTGTGTAAATCCCTTATGGTGGCTAAAGAAGTGATGAGAGTGAACACACACTCATACACACATATGTGACTACAAACACCCACACATTTGCATTGAATTGAATTTATTTAAAGGGATTCAGATGACAACAACAACAACAACCTCATCAACAACAGCTACAACAAATTGAAATTGATTTTTAATGCAATTAAAAGGCTTCACTGTCAATGATGACTATGATGCCGATGCCAATGCTGCCGATGAAGATGACGATGACGATGATAATGGAGACAAGGCAAATGGCCACAAGTGATGGATATTTTAATTGGAGAGAACAACAAGGACTTAGTTGGAGATGAAGGAGGGACGAGGATAATTGTCATGGAGGATATATTTGGTAAAAATATATTTAAAAAAATATATTTTTAAAAAAAATATTTTTTTATAAATCCCTGGCTTGTTGGCGGTTTCAAAAAAAAAAATATTTTTTATAAACCCCAAAAAATTTGATTTTGAAATCCTAAGCTTTATGAAGGCTTAAAAAAATATTTTTTTTTTTTTAAATCCAAGGCTTGTTGGAGGTCTGGGTATCTGGGGCTTAATTCTGTATCTGTGGCGTATACGTAGTGTCGGTATACATACGCCCCCGGTGACAATTTTAATATCAATTATACGCAGGCATGCCTTACCGATTGCTAGAATTTGTAAAAAATCCGAGATTTGTTGAGTACCTAGAAAAAAAAAATTCTTAAACATTCATGTATTGTTGGTAGTTCAGAAAAAAACAGATTTTAAAAATCCAAGCTTTATGAGTACCTTGGAAAAATAGATTTTTTAATAAATCAAACATTTTTATACCCTTCACCACACTGTGGTACAGGGCCCATTAAGTCTTTGTGCATATGTTTGTAACTGGCAAAATGGAAAGAGATAGACACATGGTTCCTTTTGAGAATATGCATAGAATCACTTTTTAAGTGGATTTTTTGCATGTCCGTCCGTCCGCCTGTCTGTCTGTGTGTCCATTTTAAATTGTAAACAAAGTGCTGGTCGCATTTATTATCCGAATTGAATGAAATTTGGCATAGGTCACTTATTCAGCTCAAGGACAAACCCTATTGAAATTGGTGAAAATCAGTTCAGATTTAGATATAGCTCCCCTATATATTTTCGTCCGATATGGGCACAAAAATCCCTATATATCTTTCGATTTGCACGAAATTTGGCACATGGTACTGAATTGGGTGTAGAATGATGCGTGCTAAGTTTCATGAAAATCGGTTCAGATTTAGATATAGCTACCATATATATTTTTTCGGCCGATTTAGGGTAAATGGTGCAGCAAAGTCCCTCTATATCCTTCGATTTGCACGAAATTTGGCATAGCGTACTGAATTAAGTCTAGAACGATGTGTGTTAAATTTCGTGAAAATCGATTCAGATTTAGATATAGCTCCCATATATATTTTCGTCCGATTTAAGGTAAATGGTGCAGCAAAGTCCCTATATATCTTTCTATTTGCACGAAATTTGGCATAGCGTAATGAATTAGGTCTAGAATGATGTGTGTTAAGTTGCGTGAAAATCGGTTCAGATTTCGATATAACCTCTATATCTGACCAAATGAAAAATTTAGTATCGATTGCAGAATGACATGTTTATGGGTCCAATTTCATTTTACTGGTCCTTTAAAAAAGCGACGTCTGTTAGGATTCATCTGTTGAATATACCCAAAGTGGTGAAGGGTATCATATAGTCGAACCCGTCCGACTTTACTACTTTCCTTACTGGTTGGTAATTCGATTAATAAATAAATCATTTATTTCTATAAACAGTGGCGTATACGTAGTGTCGGTAATCATACGCACCTTACTGGTGCATTGGAAAAAATATTTTAAGAATCTACTACCTGCTGGTGCCTCGAAAAAATATGCTTTAAAAATCTACGCCTTGTTGGTACCCCAAATTTTTTTTCTTTAAATACATACGCCTTGTTCGTACTTCAAAAAAAAAGTTCTTTAAAAATTCCCGACTTAGGTGACTAGAGAAAAATATTCTTTAAAAATCTTAAATTTTTTGAAAGTGGACAAAAACATTTTTTTCAAAATCTGCGTCTTATTTGGTGCCTTAAAAAAAATATTAAAGCCCGCGATTTTAATGGGTACTAGAAAAATATTCTTTAAGAAATAACCTGGAATTTGAGGCGTATAAGTAGTGTCGGCATTCATACGTCACCAGAACCAACTAAAATTTATTGGGGGATTCGATTATTATTCTCTAGAATTAAAGGTTAGAAAGATATTCTTTAAAAATATACGCCTTGTTGGAACCTCAGAGAAAATATAATATAAAAATGCACGCCTTATAGAAAGGCCAGAAAAATATGCTTTAAGAATCGACGTCTTATAGGAAGATCCGAAAAGTTTTTATTTAAAAATGTACGCCACATAGGAAGGTTAGAAACTTATTCTTAAAAAATCTTAGCTTTATTCTGGGCTTTGAAAAATATCCTTTAAAAATCTACGCCTTGTTGGTGTCTCGAAAAAATATTCTTCAATAAATTCACGCCTATTTTGTATACAGGAAAGTGAGGCGTATACATTGTGACGATATTCATACGCCACCAGTACCAAATTCAAAAATCTTCGCCTTATTTAGAGGCTAGAAAAAATATTCTTTAAAAATTTACGCCTTGTTAGGAGTCTAGAAAAAAAAATCCTTAAAAATCTACGCCTATCTAAGCCTTGTTGGTGTCTCGAAAAAATATTCATTAGAAATCTACGTTTTGTTAGGAGCCTCGAAAAAATATTCTTTAAAAATCTACGCCATGCTGGTGCCCCGAAAAAAATATTCCTTAAAAATGTGCCTTCATATGATTTGCCTTGATATGATTTTAAGTACAAAATTTTAGATTTTTATTCCGACAAAAATTTTTTTTGACACTGAAAGGGTTAATAAATCCACGCCTATTTTGTATACAAGAAACTGAGGCGTATACGTTGTGATGACATTCATACGCCTCCTGTACCAAATACAATTTTTTGGATGTTTGGAAAAAATTTGGAAAAAATAGAGACTAGAAAAAATGTTCTTTAAAAATCTACTCCTTGCTTTTGCCTCGAAAAAAATATTCTACGTCTTGCTGGTTCCTCCAAAAATTATTCTTTAAAAATCTGCGCCTTATAGGGAGCTCAGAAAATATATTATTTAAGCAACTAGGCCTTGTTGGTGACTCGAAAAAAATATTCTTAAAAAATCTATGCCTTGTTGGTACTTCGAAAAAATATTCTTTATAAATCCACGTCTTACTGGTGTCTCGAAAAAATACTCTTAAATAAATTCACGCCTA